GAGACGGGGTTTCACCATGTTGGTCTAGCTGGTCTTGAACTCCTGACCTCATGATCTGCCCACCTCAGCCTCCCAAAGTGCTGGGATTACAGGCATGAGCCACCATGCCCTGCCTAATTTGGTACTGTTAGCAGAGACAGGGTTTTTCCATGTTGTTCAGGCTGGTCTTGAACTCCTGACCTTAGGTGATCCACCTGTCTTGGCCTCCCAATGCGTGAGCCTGCCTAGCCAATACTGAATTTTATGGTATCTGAATCTCAGATTTCATACATATTTTAACTAAAACTCTTTATCTTTCAGCTTCTATGCTAGGTTCAGACACTTCACAATACAAGTAACCGATCCCGGAGGAGCCAATGCTTTTATTTAAATAGAGCAGTGACTCTTGATTCTCCCTCTGCCTACGGGTCTCTGGTACAATCACTTGGCCTCTGCATCTAAAGTTTCTGGGGCAGTGGTCATCTCCGTTTTTTTGCAGATGTGGCTTTTTTTCCAGCATTCATCTTACCTTCACTCCTGTAAGCATGCCAGTTGTGGAGACACTAAAATCAAGATACGCTAACATCTCAGGAGTGGGTGGTTTATACAGCTGAGGTAACCTTTTCCTGGGTAAATCATCTGCAATGAAAAGAAAAAACCTGATGTCAATCCAACCTGCTGGAACATGAAAATCATTGCTTTTCAACTGGTTTTCTGTGGTTTTGCTATGGCCAAATTTAGCTTCAGGGATTTGCTAAAGCTTAGGCTTCTCATATTTAACCAAGTAGCTCACATATGTCATTCTTAGAGGTGGGCTGGGGCTGAGGACACCACTAGACAACACAGGCAAGCAAATCTACATCAGGTAAATGTATCTGCTAGCAGCTTAGTAAGGGGAAGTAGAACACAGTAGGAAGCAGACTGCTGTTCAAACGCCAGCTCTACCATCAGCTACGTGACCTTGGAGTTATTTTACCTCTTCGTGTCTGTTTTCTTTTTCTCTAAAATGAATCTCTAAAATACCTACCCTCATAGAACTATTGGGAAGTTAATTCACATAAAGCACTTTTAAAGCAACTGACTGAAGAAATGATCAAAAAGCATTAGCTATTATACTGGTTTCAAGTTAAAGTTCATTATTTACAGTTTAGTATGCATTATATTACTCATGTATGGGTTTAAAAGTTGGAGTTTTCTCTAAGTTAACTTAGCAGATGTTTTTTTTAATTGCATTTTAGGTTTTGGGGTACATGTGAAGAACATGCAAGATTGTTGCATAGGTACACACACGGCAGTGTGATTTGCTGCCTTCCTCCCCTTCACCTGTATCTGGCATTTCTCCCCATGCTCTCTCTCCCCAGCTCCCCACCCCCCACTGTCCCTCCCCTATTTCCCCCCCAACAGACCCCAGTGTGTGATGCTCCCCTCCCTGTGTCCATATATTCTCCTTGTTCAACACCTGCCTATGAGTGAGAACATGCGGTGTTTGATTTTCTGTTCTTGTGTCAGTTTACTGAGAATGATGGTTTCCAGGTATCCATGTCCCTACAAAGGACACAAACTCATCGTTTTTGATGGCTGCATAATATTCCATGGTGTATATGTGCCACATTTTCCCTGTCTAGTCTATCATCGATGAGCATTTGGGTTGGTTCCAGGTCTTTGCTATTGTAAACTGTGCTGCAATGAACATTCGTGTGCATGTGTCCTTACAGAACAATTTATAATCCTTTGGATATATACCCAGTAATGGGATTGCTGGGTNGAGGGAGGGAGACAGAGAGAGAGAGAGAAAGGAGAGAGAGTATTCAACTGAAATCCTAGCACACAGGGTACACAGAGGAGTAAGGCCAGAAAGGCTGAGGCCAGCTCTGAAAGAGCTTAACCATCATATGAGGGAGTTTAGCCTTCACCCAGCAGGCAGTCATTGCAGCTTTAAGTTGGGGCAACACTGACAATATGGAGATATGGAGTAGGAATTGGTGATACGAGCCACTGAAGGCAGAGAGACAGGAGAGGCTGCAATAGTTCAGGTGAGAGGTGATAAAGCCTTGAACCCAACAATGTAGGCTAGAATAAAAAGGAAGGGACGGGGCTGGTGTGGTGGCTCACGCCTGTAATCCCAGAACTTTGGGAGGTTGAGGCAGGTTGATCGCCTGAGCCCAGGAGTTCGGGCCTAGCGTGGGCAACATGACGAAACGCTGTCTCTACAAAAAAATTAGCCAGGTGTGGTGGTGCGCACCTGTAGTCCCATTTACTCGGGAGGCAGAGGTGGGAGGATCGCCTGAGCCTGGGAGGTGGAGGTTGCAGTGAGCTTGAGATTACACTATTGCACTCCAGTCTGTGCAACAGAGCAAGATACTGACTCAAAAAATGAAAAGAAAAAAGGACAGAAAGGAAATATGGGTCCTCATATCCATATTCGGTCCATCAACAGGAAACACTATCAACACAAATATTTTTTTTTAAACAACAAAAAGAGTTCTTATCGTGTCTCATCTATAGCCACAAAGCTTAAAGTGTTGGCTTATACAAAATGGCAGTGATTTTAAGCCTAAACCTGAGTACAGATCAGAATCACTAGGAGCTCAGAAATTCTGTACTGAAAAATACTGGTGGCTTGGTCTCCACCCCTGGAGATGTAAGTTAAGTCTTGGGGAGTCCCATTAATTTTTGTAAAAAGATCCCCAGGTGATTCTTATGTACAGATAGGTATACAGCAATTGAGCCAAAGGACATACATTTGATTAGATACGAGACATGAAGATACAGAATCTGAAGATAACACCCAAGTTCCTAGTTTGGGCCCCTAAATGGATGATCCTACCCTAACAAAGATGGGAACACAGGAGGAGAACACTGAGCTGCAGGCATTCATGAAGCATTCATGATGTACACCAAGGAAGTAAAAATGCAGATCTGAGATGAGGTTTCCTGAGGGGGATGGTGAGAGGAGCTGGGATCTGTATTCCACAAGGAGTAACCTGGCCAGGGCAAATGTGCTACTTTCCATCCACATGCTGTCCTCCCATCCCACTGTGCTCCTTCCTGCCAAGCCTAGGGGGTACATGCTGGCTGTCAAGGCATGACATATTTCACCCAAGAATCATCCTTCTACTTGGCTCTGCTTCTAAAGCAAGGATTACATGGTAGAGCAAAGAGCAAGTAACAGGATTACTGCCATTTTGTATGACAGAAAATAACAAAGGGAATACAGACAAAACTAAACAAACGTGTAAGACACAGTGGATACATGAATTCTGGAAACATTAGCATTTTACTGAAACTTTACCAAATTAAGGGAGCAAAGGGAAGGATGAGATGGTCGTGGCCACAAAGTGTACCCCCCGCACACACATCTGTCTCCTTGGCTTTTCCATCCCTACCTGCAGAGACACCAGAGCGCGAAGCCAAGTCCACAGTAAGGGTCAAGGCAGATGGCGATCTGCCGAGAAGAGTACAATTCGCACTGAAGCTTGATGGCTCGACACAGAGCATTCACTGCAGAGTGGGACATCTGGAAAGTATGGAAAATGGAACAGGCTGGAACCATCATCCCACAGGCAGAGAAACAGCTCTGAGGACAGCTTTTAAAATTCCCCTAAACTCCTCAAAACGATGTATAATTTTTAGTGCTTCAAAGCCTAATCTAAGTCTCCATTAAGATAACATATTTCTGTTCATTAGTTAATACGGATTTTTTTTTTAAGACGGAGTTTCGCTCTTGTTGCCTAGGCTGGAGTGCAATGGCGCAATCTCGGCTCACTGCAACCTCAACCTCTCAAGTAGCTGGGATTATAGGCATGCGCCGCCATGCCCAGCTAAATTTCTTTTTTTTTTTTTGAGATGGAGTTTC